ATCGAGCACGCTCTTCTGTTAACAGTCCAGCTAATGATTTCTACGTAAGATGGTGCGCAAAATGTTCATTTACGCCTATTTTTTTCCCCAAGCCCTTAATGAATACAAAGAAATATTTGAATGGACTGCGCTGAGGTAATTTCCGCTGAAGCAGTATTTAAAAAAAACAAAAAAACAGGCCAAATATAAATTTAAATTATATTTTGAAATTTTGAATATATTTTGAAATTTTGATTATATTTTGAAAACTTATAACGGTCAAGTCAACATTTTCACCGTATGTCCAATTAGGTAGTTATTTTTCCTCAAAGATATATATTAACTTGCCATATTTTTAGAAAAATTGTTAGCGCTGTTTTCTGAATACCCGTGTGACCCAGTTTCTATTTTTTTTTTTTGAACCTATACAGAAAAACAAAAACTAATAGGAGAAATAGTAAAAAAAAAAAGAATTATCTTCATATCTTATAAATTATAGACGTTAGTTCAAAATAGAATATAACTACGTCTTAAGCATTTCTTGTAGGCCTACTAATCTAGTCTTGCATGGTAATCAATGACTTAAACTCTTCTGATTTAGGCAACCCATTCAGTTGTCTAATGGCACTAGGAAAGAAAGAGCACTTGTACGAATTTCAATTCCGTGAACTTTCAGAAAAATGATTATTTCATTCCGTTTTTACTTAAATTTTATTTCATGGTTTTCGTGTGTGTGTGTGTGTGTGTGTGTGTGTGTGTGTCCTCGTCCATTTGTCTAGAGATATCTATGTTTGTGGAGAAAGAAAAACAGAGAATATTTATTTAATAAAAAATCAAAATATAGAAAATAACATGCAAGATCCCCAGTAAAGAAATGAACTAGGGACTTTAATGTGTATAAACTGCATCTAACCAAAATGAAACAACATGATAATATGTATCCATAAAAAAAGTTTCACATTGATGTTTATATTATTTCCGGTTGAACTAGGTCAGAGATTTGATTGTAAAATATGGCAGACGAGGAGAACCGGTGGCGGGAATCTGTGTTGAACCGATCCAATCCGAAGGCGGGGACAACCATGCAAGTCCCGCTTTTTTTCAAGGCTTACAAGCTATTTGCAGAGAGGTAAGCTAATTGATTCATGTGTTCGTAATTAATGTTGACTACCAAAAGGTTAGAAGGGCTCTCAAAAAGGCCCCGGTAAACACATTTGAGACCAAATAAAAAAAAGACCTTATTGAAGACAGGCGCTGATGATGGTAAAAAAAAACATGAATAGGCCGCTGGCGGACAATGGCTTTGTTTCCATGAGATGCGGAAAAATATGCAGGTCGCAACTGGGTTTTTGTAGTCATGTGAAACACTGCTCTGATCCCTAATCTTTGGACTCGAAGCCATTGTCATTGACCTATAAATTAAATAGTTAAAGTAAACTAAAGGCAGAAAAGTTCTAATTTAGACAATACACACTAGCGCATCACTAAATAGTCCACGTTTTGAAATTTACAAATATACCTTCAATATTCTCTAGAACAGTTTCAAGTTGTATCGAATATTTGGCTTTTAAGCATTTAAAGATTACTCATAGGCTCCTAGAGCCACTTAACTTTAAGGATACTGAACATTAGTTGGGGTAATACTGGCGATTGGTCGTTGTGCTGGCCACATGCCATCCTCGTTAAACATTGGTCAAAGAAAAATATTTTTAATCGATTCTACAGCCAGTGGCCACGTCTGCCTATTATTTGACACATTATGTGAGCACAGCCGGGTGACACAGCCACGTGACTTAATGCACTCTCTGATTCGAAGGCGTTTGCCTTAATGCACAGTTGTAACTTGAAGGGGGGGGGGGGGGCAACTCAATAAAGGAGCAATGTTAGATGACGGATGTTTATTGATAAGGAAGACTGTGAATGATAAAAAACACCAAACATAAACGTCAGATTGGGTCTTCAGTTCTCTGGTCACAGTTCACTGGTGCCGCTCCTATCACCGCCTCCACAAAGTCACAGATCGTCGTTCTGTGGTTGTCCCAGGAACGGTTGTTCTCCCTACACATCCGCATGGCGACACAACCCTTCCACTGTTTCAGACACTTCCTTTCCTTACAACCACAGAGCACCTCCCACTTTTTCTCACCTTGCTGATCTGTCCAGGGAAGCTCTAGCCCAAGACATTCTCTTTCTTTTCTTTTTTTTCCCCCGGAAGGAATTAGTTCTCTCTTTCATAACTGGTGTTGACAGTCGTGTACTAATAAACTCAGTGCTTTTGTGTGTGTGTGTGTGTGACGGTACGCACCGGTACGGCGTAACGGCACCTTTTTCAGCGTGGGGAAAAATTATGACTTTTATGACTTTTCTTGTATTTTAACGTTTATTATTAATTTATTAGTAGTTAAAGTTAGGCAATCCATCACTGAGTACCGGCATTGTATAGACTATAGGCCTAGCACAGTGCTACTGGTAGACAAATAAACCGCTTTAGGCGTATTATATTTTAATTTATAGAACTTAAAACTTCTTTTGCGAAAAAAACTAAGTATAACTTTTTTTACTATGCATTTTTTATTACAATATATAAATAAATTCAACTAGAAATGAAATGAAATGTAAACAAATCTAACCCACTAAAAAAAAAAACAGCAAGTCTTTACACTTTGAAATCCTGGAGCCGTCTGGCGTACTTATCACAGACTACAATAAATACTCCCTAGGTATATAATCACCTTGGAAACACACACACTCACACTGTCACACTCTATAACAATACTACTGAGTTTCGTCCCAGTTCTAAACGATGCGTTTTATAAGCGCCGGTGCAGAGTTACTGCATTATTAATTACACATGTGTTGTTTTTTTTTTTTACTGAATGAGAGAGTTAAAGACTGGAATAAATTATAGAAGTTTTATAGGCCTGTGTAGATAATTCTTATACCAGGTTGACATAGTTTCAATGGCTGTTTGATTCCAGACTGGGGTGTACTTAATGATTGACGAGGTTCAGACAGGCTGTGGTGCCACGGGAAAGTTTTGGGCACACGAGCACTTCAGCCTCCAGCAACCTCCTGACGCCGTGACTTTCTCAAAGAAGATGCTGACGGGCGGATTTTATTTTACAGACGCGCTAATGCCAAGAGAGGTAACTCGCTTAGTGTGAATATTCATTTGTTATCTGTCTTTGAATAAAGCAAAAAGAAAACGTCTTTTATAAGAGAGGTTTAGAATTACAGTGTGAGAAATGAATAGTCGAATAAATTAGTGATTGTAATATGCAAATAGGAGTCTATGTAATAAAATATGAATGTAGGCCTATCGTTGGTGATAGTGGTCGGGAAATTATAGTGACACAAACTATACAAAATGAATATAGGCTCATCGCATGAGAATGATAGGCTTATTCTCAAATCTCAAGAAGTCCATGCTGTCACAAGACCAGTGGTTCTCAAACTTTTGGGTGTGATGCTCCCCTCGAAGAAAAGAATTTCGCTCTCACCCCCCGCCCCCCCAAATTCCAACCTGCAAGAGGTTCTGAGATTTTCAAACGCAATGAAAAAGAAAATAACTTTTAAGGCCTATAATTATGACACATTTGATACCAAAAGAGAATGCATTGCCGAGGACAGACGTAGACAGCGAAAAGAAAACCTATATCGACCACATGCGAACAATGGTTTTGCACCTCTCCAGTTGGAGTAGCTATTTTCTAGATATTACAAATAGTAATAGCATTTAGCTTAATTTTTATTCTTAGGCCTAACATTATTTTTAACCGAAGGCTTACAGAATTTATAACACGTGGATTGGTGACCCGTCCAAACTGGTTCTCTTGGAACACGTAGTACAAGAAATTAAACAGAAGAAATTAGTGGCCAATGCTGCCCTGGTTGGCCAGGTGCTGCTCAATGGCTTCTTAGAATTGCAGGTAGAGATTTCAATTTAAATTTTCACAATATTTTTACAAATCTTATACCAACTCACTCTGTCTTCGCTACATTTTGTTCACTTTATTTCTTTCACTTTTCCTTCTTGGACCAAGCTTACACATTTATTCATCGTTTTTTTTTTAACAAATCATGAATCACTCGAAAACTTAACCACTTATATATAAATGGTAATAAATCATTTTTGTTGGATATAGAAAAGGAAAATAAATTTACAGTATTGAGATATATGGCTGTAAATGTTGATGTGAGAGAAAGTTATACATCCACAGTGTACAATGATCTAAAACTCTTTCCTTTAGAGTCTCTATCCAGGTGTATTACAAAACGCTCGAGGTTTAGGCTTGCTGTGTGCTGTGGATATTTCCACACCTGCCAAAAGAGACAACATTATTCACAGGCTAAGAAATAAAGGTGAGCCCATCAGAACTTTCTAATAAGATCACAATTATCTGACAAGAACTTAAATATATAATCTAATCAGTTACCCATATATTGAGTTTTTGTCTAACAAACACAAAATAAAAGTAAACATAAGTGTATAGTAAAAAAAAAAAATCTTTTTTTTTTTATCACAGCAAATGTGTATTGCAGAAAAATTCTCATTAATATTTTTTTCATTTACAACTAGGGGTCAACATTGGAGGTTGTGGTCTGTCCACTCTTCGGCTGCGTCCATGCCTGACCATCAGCACCTCCCAGGCTTTTATGTTTCTGAATATACTGGACTCTGTGTTGGCTGAAGTGAGATAATCCAGCCCTTTGTGTCACATTTCTATAGAGGCTAAAGTAGTTACAGAAATGTGTACATGTATGCTTCTCTAAGTAATCAGATCATATGCTGAAAACAGGTTTTCTATGTCATGATATGTGATACTTTTTTTGTACTCTATCATAAGTCATGAGCTTCAAACTTCTCTTAGCTTCCTTGGGCAAAAGATGATTTAAGTCACTTCTAAGACAAAGGAATAACTAGGTACAGCCTGAATCAAGATACATTAAAGGGAAACAGAATTCAATAAGTCACAATAGTGACTTAACAGTGCTTGCTCCAGAGCTCACATTTCTAACTCCTCAATGGGAATTTCCAGCATGTTCAAAGCTTGTCTAAACTGTGTGCGGCTGATGTGACCTTTGTTGTGTCTTCAAATAAGTTAATGGGGGCACGGTGTCTGAGTGGTTAAGCGCTTGGCTTCTGAACCTGGGGTCCTGGGTTCGAATCTCAGTGAAGACGGATTTTGAATCTCGTGATTTTTAAGGTGCCCCAGTCCATCCACCTGTAATGGGTACCTGACTTTAGTTGGGGAAAGTAAAAGCAGTTGGTCAATGTGCTGGCCCCATGACAGCATGCTCATTAACCGTTGGCCATAAAAACAAGATCTTAACATCATCTGCCTTATGGATCACAAAATTTGAAAGGGAAACTTAAAAAAAAAAATATTTAAAAAAATAAGTTAACAGTTTTGTTAAATTTGTAGGTTTGTTAAATGTGCACCTCTGTTAAAATGAACATTTGTGTTTCTGTATAAGCTATAAAATGTTATAGAGTTATATCTAACTTAATTATAATATATGAAATTTGATGCTTTACAAATTCAGTCAAACAGATTAAATGCTTTGTGAAATGTGTAACAGTCCTCCGCTAAACACTGCATCTTCCATGATGAAATAAATTAACAGATTTTAATTTCTTATGAGTCTAATTGTGTTCTAACAAGTGCCAGACTGAGTTCACATACACAGCTGAGACACAAAGATAAAGGCACATTCCTTGTTCCATATGCTAGGACAAATTTTTACAAATGCTCCTTCTTCCCTAGTGCTATTAGAGCATGGAATGGGTTGCCTGAGCTAACCAGGAAAACCAGTGACTTGGCAGAATTTACAATTGACTAGATGCATGATGTGTAGGACGTAATTATCTTCTTATTTTTAATTAACATCTGTATTTTATAAGATAAGTCAACACTATTAACCTCATCTATAGGGCAGTTGGGGTGTTTAATTGTAAAGAAGCTATGAGGATCAATACAGAAGGTCCCAGAGAAAACATGGCACTAGACTAGAGCAACACACACAAAACATGAAGACTTATAAGAAATACACAGAGATATTTCATTAACAAAATAATGTATTAAAAGTAAAAAAAAAAAAACATAGGTCAGTGCATTATCAATGCATCTTTAACAAAAAAATTGATTGTGATGCATAATCATCACAAAATTTATCTTATAGTATAAATTACAGACATTCAAAAGAGAAGATTATATCCTAAGCATATCCATGTGTTAATATAGTCTAATAAAGCAATACAAAAATAATTTAAAATTAACTAATTCAAAGCATAGAATTCTAAACATTTAATGTACTTTTTAACAGATGCTTTATCTATACACAAACAAAAAAAATGAGCTACAAGAAAAGGACGTTTCTAATTAATATTTAGATTTGAAAAGCCTGTGTAAAGAGCAGTAAGAAATGTAATCAGCAGGCAAAATAAAAGGTTACTTATTCAACAGTAGGACGTAATTATCTTCTTTTCTGAAGTCATGTCTGTATTTTATAAGACAGGATAGCTCTCTCTTGTAAGTGATAAAAAGCATTAAACCGTAAGTCTTCAAGTTTAATGTCAGCTTACAAACTCACAAGAAAAAAGAAGGAAATTATCTATACCATAAGACAATAATCTAAAGTACTATATTTCCCATGTAAAAAAATGTAACTTACAGATATTGATATATAATAAATATTTAGTATTTTTATTTATCAATATATCGGTACAGTATATCGGCAACTGGGAAGAGGTGGCACTGGACAGATCCTCATGGAGAGAGAGCATAAAGGAAGGGTCAAAGATTGCAGATGTCATACACAACAGAAGCAGAAAGAAGGGTGAAAATGCAATGGCGCCTGGTGATTATATATGCCCAACCTGCGATCGCAGCTGTGTATCAAGGATTGGCCTCTTTAATCACACAAGAAGTTGCAAAGGGAAAAGATCGTTTATCGGTACATAAGGAAATGTCATGGGCGTAATTCAATTTCACCTTATAAGGGCAAAAAAAAATGTGCATGATTGTATATTTCAATTTTACTTTACATAGATTGTAAAGATTGAATAGGAGGATGACCAGAATTCTATAATTGTTGTCAAGGTAAAAACTTAAATAGACAAAATGGCAGACACAAAAGCTTTATCTACATTAGATGTGACCAAATATTCAGGTTGCTACTGGATTTGTGTAGTCATGGGAAACATTGTAGATCTACATCCATTACAAACGTAACACAAATTAAAATGAGAAACTACAACCTGAATGATTACACTACATTTTAGCCAAGGACTATGAAACAACAATAAAATATTTGTTCATGAAATTATACCTTACACTTCTATGTTCAAATATAAAGCAGAAACATATTAAAATTTATTTAATTTTGTGCTTATTAAAAGCATCCTAAAATGCAAAGATTTCATTGTGATGACATTGGTTCACACATAAAGGTAATAAATACACAATAATGTGTTGAATTCAACAATTAGCATGTCATTATCAGTACATAGATCAGCCTAAATTATATTTTAAGATAGATAAGATAAGATTGTTATTTTAGAGTTATTTAACAATTTCCTGTCCTGGACTCTTAACTACAGAACTAGAAGAAGATCCCAGCCCTGGAATTGAGATTTTACATAAGGATACTAGGTTTCACATACAAAGATCATATTTCAAAGGTGAAAGTCAGAAACAAGATCACAATAGAGACTGGGTCCCATGATTCCCTTCTGACCACCCTTAAAAAATTAAAGTTTAGCCTACACAGCCATGTAATGAGATCCTCAGAGCTCGCAAAAACTTTTCTTCAGGGAACAGCACCAAGGGAGAAGGGCAGACAAATGAAGCGATGGGAGGACAGCATTAAGGAATGAAAGAGACAGAGAGAAATGGAGAAAGATGGTTGACAGATAATGTGTGGTGCCCCAACCGCTGAACAGACTACGGGAAGAGTGAAGTGAAGAACATTTTTATAAATTAAAATAATTAAACAAAAGGGACATTAAGAATATTAAACAGCAATAAAATGAGTTAAGTGATGTTTCCATAGAACAGAATTAAAAAAAAAAAGATTGAAGTACTTCCTTGGAAATGTATCTATGTTGCTTGTTATTTCCAATATATATATAACCCAAATGTTATAAACTTGTTAGTTGTGGTGGAGAACTGCAAGAAACACTTCTCTAAAAACCAGGTTACCACTGTTATGGCTCTTCTGCGGAGTCGAATGTAATCATGAGGTAACCTTCAACTAAATCAGAAACGCGAAATGCCAAACAATCAATATAAGTAGTTGACGCTAGTATCAAACAATCATAAATACTTTAATACTTAAGAAGGGATCTGTCCAATGTCTTTCAATGGAGCTGTATATCTATTATTTATTTCTACTGTTCTACACAAAGCATCCTGTTTGTAGCGTCACTTAGAGCGTTCTTATTTTTTAAAGATCTGTCACGTCACTTGTCGCTGTAAAACTTTCCCCTTATTCCTGAAACAAATACTAAATTCTAATCATGTCATAAAACCACTTTACGCAATCCAACATGGCCACATTAGTAACAAAATATACACCAAAATGTTAAACAAAGAGTTTCTTAGCTCAGTTGTAATACCAGAAGATATGTAAATGATCTTGCTGTTCAAGACCCATTCTTTGTGGCCCATCAGACAGCACCATTATGAGAATATGGCAGATAAGTCACAAAATCTTATTCAAGTGATTTAAGTTGTGCCTTGTGGCTGTATGCCTGGAAGATAAAATATCTGTTCAATGATAACAACAAATTGTACAAAAATGAGCTGTGAATCTATGAAACACAAAACTAAATATTTAAGACAAATAAAAATGACAAAATAATGTTAAAACATCACAATATACAAAACATATAAGAAATGGATCATGTAAACAAAAAAAATAAACAAAACGGAAATGCAAATCAAATGTAAACCAACATAAACATTGTTTAAATCTTACAGAAGGAAAAAAATGGCTTGATCTTTGTAGCTGTATTTCCATTTGGTGTAACCATTACATAGTTCATTCATATTTTTGTAAAAATGTTCAACTACCATGTATACGATCTATTCTCCTTTCTTAGTCCTTTCCTTTGTCAATCTGGACAGAAGGCCAGTCACATAAGGCAGTGTCACAGCCAAAACTGCCCCAGCTATCAATATCGGGAGACGATACATAGACACAGAAGCATACAAAATGCTCATGACAGCAAAACAGTATAGTGACCAAAAGACCATCAAACCCTGAAATCTGAGGAAATATAAGGGACTAAGTTCAGTGTGATAACATATTACTATAAGATAAGAGACTAAGTTCAGTGTGATAACATATTACTATAAGATAAGAGACTAAGTTCAGTGTGATAACATATTATAATGAAAAGTTGCCTTTATGTTTTTTCTATTTAGAAATCAAGTACTTAAAAAAAAATTAACAAAAAACAAAAAAAAACTAACAAATCTGGCAGCACTATGGTACAAAGGTTATAGAATAATGGTGAGGAAAATATTGTTCAATATATATAAGAACTGACGAGGACTCAAACCAAGGACCTCCAAACTGGCTTACCAGGTAGCAGTCTAACACACCAACATAGAATCCTCTACGTCTGTAGAGTTATCTGGACCTGTATTGCCACCCAGGGGTCGTATACTAACATGGCCCACCTAGAGCTCGTCCACATTTTCTTCCAGGGATTGTGGACATGTAGAGTCTTTATTGGAGGTGGATTGTGGACATGTGGAGTCTTTATTGGAGGTGGATTGTGGACATGTAGAGTCCTTATTGGAGGTGGATTGTGGACATGTAGTCCTTATTGGAGGAGGATTGTGGACATGTAGAGTTCTTATTGGAGGTGAATTGTGGACATGTAGAGTCCTTATTGGAGGAGGATTGTGGACATGTAGAGTCCTTATTGGAGGTGGATTGTGGACATGTAGAGTCCTTATTGGAGGTGGATTGTGGACATGTAGTCCTTATTGGAGGAGGATTGTGGACATGTAGAGTCCTTATTGGAGGTGGATTGTGGACATGTAGAGTCCTTATTGGAGGTGGATTGTGGACATGTAGTCCTTATTGGAGGTGGATTGTGGACATGTAGTCCTTATTGGAGGAGGATTGTGGACATGTAGAGTCCTTATTGGAGGTGAATTGTGGACATGTAGGGTCCTTATTGGAGGAGGATTGTGGACATGTAGAGTCCTTATTGGAGGTGGATTGTGGACATGTAGAGTCCTTATTGGAGGTGGATTGTGGACATGTAGTCCTTATTGGAGGAGGATTGTGGACATGTAGAGTCCTTATTGGAGGTGGATTGTGGACATGTAGAGTCCTTATTGGAGGTGGATTGTGGACATGTAGAGTCCTTATTGGAGGAGGATTGTGGACATGTAGAGTCCTTATTGGAGGTGGATTGTGGACATGTAGAGTCCTTATTGGAGGTGGATTGTGGACATGTAGTCCTTATTGGAGGTGGATTGTGGACATGTAGAGTCCTTATTGGAGGTGGATTGTGGACATGTAGAGTCCTTATTGGAGGTGGATTGTGGACATGTAGTCCTTATTGGAGGAGGATTGTGGACATGTAGAGTCCTTATTGGAGGTGGATTGTGGA